GGACCCCGGGCAGCCAGGTAACCGCCTGGGACCCCGGGCAGCCAGGTAACCGCCTGGGACCCCGGGCAGCCAGGTAACCGCCTGGGACCTTGGGCAGCCAGGTAACCGCCTGGGACCCTGGGCAGCCAGGTAACCGGTGGGAACCTGGGCAGCCATAAGAACGAGCCAAAGGAAGCGTTCTGCGGCACGCATGACCTCAGGAAATCCTCTCCCCCTCTCAGCCCCCCCCCCCATGTGTATGTGATGTATTGTGATGAACTGTTTGTACTGAAACTGAAATCTCGATTGTAATGTAAATTGTAGTTACCAATAAAAATTGATTGATTGATTGAAAATATGCCAAAAAAATATTATTTACAAGTAACTTAAAATAAAAAAGATTGACAAATAGACAAAAAGACTAGAACAAAAATCCAAAGACAGGGGAAAAAAGGTAAGAAATATCAGATAACATCCTAATGTGAGAAAAATGACTAAATAACAGGAGATGTGAGGTGGTGAAAAAAAGACTTAAAGACAGAAACAACAGAACAGAAAGCAAGAACATTTATTAATATGCCCCAAAAATAAGGATAAACCCAGAAGAACACAGACGAAAACCATCTATAAATGTATAAAAACTTGTTAACAGATATCCGCGCCTTAGTAATAATACATCAAATTAGAAATACTTGCTGCTTTAAACATAAAAACCTCTAAAATCTAAAATAAGGACACAGATCAGGACGTCAGAGTGACACTGAGCATATTTCCAGTGGTGTGTGGCCCCCCCGCGGCCCTTGGCTTTAATATCTCTTGATCCGCTCCTGGATAATCGGATAATTAATGAGGAGATAATTACCCCTCTGCAGACTGCAGCTCCCAGCTGCCGCCCACAGGGGGAGCACTTCAGACCTAAATCCTGCAGGGTAATAATCCCATGTTTACAAACTGCCTGCCGCTGCTGAACAGGGAGGATTTATAATAAGCTGCATCTAACATTTCCACATCTACTGATAGGCGCCTCATTAGCGCACTTTTACAACTCACCCCCTTTGCGCCGGTTTCCTGCGCTTCCTCCCTGCGTACATGTTTGCGTTGATTTGGGAGATTCAGGTTAGAATCGGTGAAAGAATCAGAAAGAATCCCGGAGTTCAGATCAAAATGAAAGGTTTTAGTTTTCATTCCGCAGCCGGACTGTCAGAAACAGCGGCAAAAGTCTCCATGTGGCGCTAATTCCTCTACAAGCCGTGAGTCTGACAGGAGCGCAGGTTCATTTCCCGCATCCAGAGGAGCCGCAGTCCGCTGCGCTCCCACACTGCGTCACATCCAGCGCTGCGCAAAAAAACAAAGAATGAAATAAAGAAAAGAGGCAGTTTGAAAGCTCACATCCCACCGGAACACGATCAACTTCAGCTCCCTGGCTCCCTCTGCTCCTCTCCTCCTCCTCCTCCTCTAGGGTCGGTCAGAGCGCGCTCCCAGGGATCCGGTACAGCGTCGAGAGCGCGCATGGGAGAGGACCGTACGTGACGTCAGAATCGTATGAAAGTTACATTAAAAGTTAATGTGAGAATGTTTTTTTTTTTTTTTTTTATCAAAAGGTGTTTCTTTAATGACCAGATTTCTAATGAAGCGAAACGCCCCTTCAAAATAAAAGCATCAGTTTCTTAAAGCTGCAAACCCCTGAAAGATCCATAGTTCCCTAAATGATACAAATCCCATTTTTGATTACATGTTTAAAATGTTCTCTGTGGTTAACAGTGAATGTGGAAGTTATCTGGAGGATTAAACATTCAGAGAAATATAATATTTGGTTAAAGCTTCTCTTTAGCTTCCAAATCTTCTAATCTTCAGGTACTGTTAGGCCGGGGAAGGTTAGATAAAGCTTTCAGGATGGGACCTTTAGAGACTTTGAGGCCGATCGTTCCCTGAAAGTAAATTTAATTTCATTTATTTCTAAAGCGCCAATTCACTACATGTCATCTCAAGGCACTTTACAGTTCAACCAGATCATCCAGTCAAATATATATTTTCTGTCTAAGGAAAACCAGTTGATCTCATCGACTCATTGACTCAAATGCAGTCCCTCATACTAAG